GAGATCTTTCTCCTTGTTCCCCATCGGCTGCCACGCTTGTTCTGCACAATCAGTTCCATCTGCAAGACGCTCGCGCCACCATCCACTCCGATCCCCCCAAGGTCTTCGAATCAAACTGTTGGACGGTTCCACACCACCCAGCCCACCCAAGGCACACCAAGGCATACCCCTAGTGCGAAAGAAGCTCCAGCATCCCTATCGGGGAACCCTACCTTGCCTACCTTGGCCTACCTACCCTATCAGGATCCTACTCAACCAGCTATCGTTCCAGCCTGCGGACCGTGCAGCAGTAACTGTACCGGTTCACTACCATTATTTCTTAGCCTGTACCTGTACCTACCAAGGTACACTTCTTGGCTTGGTAGCGCCGTTGTCTACGTTAGGTATCACTGGCCACTGGACAGCTTTTGCCCACCTCCTGCGATCTGCGGCACCACACCCTTCCGACCTTGTGTCAAAACATTTCTAACCCTTATGCAACACCAGCTCTCTTCTACACCTTTCTTCCTGTTCTGATCCGTGATCTGATCATAATCGTCGACCATCGTCTTCCCCATTGTAGAAATACCCATTCATACTCTTGAAATAATCCTCCAATACTAAGATCGCTAGGTAGATTTGCTTCAATTGCCTGATTCCTCATCTTGTTCCAGTCTATTGCCGATAAGTCTAATTCCGACAAACCAAAGAAAAAATTGCCGACAATGGCAGCTCCCGGTGTGCAATCACTAAAGGTATGAGATGTTCTTTTGTCACTTACAAGTTTTCAACGTCGATGAGTTACATATACTAATGCGAGATTCTCCTGCAGTGTGTCGTGACGGGTGACGGTGCCGTCGGCAAGGTCCGTTTATAACTATGACCATGACTCGAACCGCATGTCCCCAAGTCTAACAGTAGTGCCAGACATGTCTTCTCATCTCCTATACAACGAACGCCTTTCCTGGAGAGTACATACCCACAGTGTTAGTAGACTAAAAACAGATTTCTCCGTTTATCCCTATCCCAGCACGTAGGCTAATATATACTGTTTGTCGTCATATAGTTTTGACAACTATTCGGCAAGTGTAATGGTCGATGGGAAGCCAATTAGCTTGGGGTTGTGGGATACTGCTGGTCAGGAAGATTACGACAGACTGCGACCGCTCTCGTACCCCCAGACCGACGTCTTCCTCATCTGCTTCTCCATCGTGAGCCCGCCTTCGTTTGACAACGTAAAAGCCAAGGTACGTAAGCTACAAGCGACGATTCAGAGCATCTAGTTGGCCGAATCGCAACTTGCATAGCAGAAGATGCTAACGAAGCTCAGTGGTATCCTGAGATTGACCACCACGCGCCCAACATTCCCATCATCCTGGTCGGCACCAAGCTGGATCTGCGAGAGGACCCTGCCACTCTAGAGAGCCTACGATCCAAGCGAATGGAGCCCGTGTCGTACGATCAAGCTCTCATCTGCGCCAAGGAGATTCGTGCCCACAAGTACCTGGAATGTTCGGCACTCACACAGCGAAACCTTAAGAGCGTCTTCGACGAGGCTATTCGGTAAGGCTACTCTGATTCAAATAGTCCCTAAAGAATAGACGTATATACTAACCTGAAACGCAGAGCCGTCCTAAACCCCCGACCTGTCCAATCCAAGAAGCAAAAAGGGTCCAAGTGCGCCATCCTATAAATAAACAGCACGTAGGGGCACACGAGTTTTTCAGCATTTGAAGTTTTGGTCGAAAGAGAGCCAAGAAAGTCTTTGAATTGCTGCGAGACGGAGGAAAGAGACAGACAGACAGACAGAAGGCGTTTTTGGTGGACATATAGGAAAGACTACTACAGAATCCTCTTCCTTCCCGTGGAGGAAAGCCGACGTATTCAGGCAAAGTTCTTGGAAGAGTTTTGGCCGACAAACCAACCCATATATTTTCACGTCCCCTCATTTTCAGCCCTACATACCCCCCACAGACGTTTTTGGCAGCCGTTTTGTTGTCGTCGTTGTTGTTGATGCTGCTACTACAGGCCGTTGTATGGATGGATGGGATTCGACCACGCAGGAAAGGATAGGAGTGGAGTGGAAGTGGAGTGGATGAAACAGAAAGCAAGCTGAATGAAAGGAAAGATTTGCTTGCGAAGCTGTCGTCGTCGTCAGGAAAGGACTAGGTGCATAGTTGTCAGTCTGTCCTGTGTCACTTGGTGTTGTCTCTATCTCGAATTTCTATCACGTCACCGTTTGCCTCTACGGTCTTGGTCTTGTTTAGTCTTGGCCTACGGCGGAGTTGATGGACATTATACAGACACAGGCACCCAAGTTGAATTAGTGTACACGCAGGAAAGCAAAGCACCTTGTACTGGACCAGACGGTGGTGGTGGTGACAGTGGTAGTGGTAAAGAGAAAGAAGTGTGTATGTGTGTGCGGTCGTTCGTCTCCCCCCTCCCCCCGGCAAAAGAAGGATATTCAATCTTGCCTTTTCACAATTCTGTAGATAGCATATTTTGCGAAGAGGAATTTTAACTTTCAAGTATGCATGCACTCAACGTCACTATTAATGTGTGTCCATGTCAAACGGTGTTGTCTTGTCTTTCTATTATCGCGAACGCCAATGTCAAATTCTATGCGCCGAAGACGATCCTATCTTGGTATCATTACGTTTCTACGCAGTATGGTAGTATAGTAGTTTGCGGTAGGATAGGAGTATCAAGCGCCAGGAACTCTCATCCGGCGACTCGGGTGCACGGCATCCTCGATCCCACCCCCCGCCTTCTCCTCCCCTCCTCCATCTCCCCCATTCTTCTTCGCCTTGGCCATGTCCTTCTCGTACTTGGCCTTGATCTCGGCCTCGGCCTTGCGCGCGCGCTGCTCGTTCAGCTTCTCGTTCTTGGCCTTGATCTTGTCCTTCCTGTGGCTGGTATTGCCGCCGCCGCCCGCCGTCAGCTCCACGTTGATGCGGCGCTCCTCGGTCTTGCCCTGCTTGGCGGCGGCGTCGGCGGCGGGGCAGACGAACGTCGAGTGGTGCAGCTTGGCCAGGCACGACTTCATGTGGTCGTACCGCGCGAACTCGACGAAGGCGACGCCCCGCGACTTGTGCGTCTTGGCGTCGTGCAGCAGCCGCACCGACGTCGGGTGCATGCTGGCGAAGTGCGCGGTGATCTGCGGCACCGTGGCCGAGTAGGGCAGGTTGCCGACGAAGACGATGAAGCGCCCGGGCTTCTTGCTCGATTGGAAGGCTTCGGCTTGGGTGGTGGGCTCGGCGGAGGAGGAGTCCTTGTCGGCGTTGGTGTCCTCGGCAGTGGGCTCGGAGGTGGGAGCAGACTTCTTGGATTTCTTCTTCTTGTCCTTCTTGCTCTTCTTGGCGGGCTTCTCGTCTTCGGCCTCGAAGTTAGCTACCTCTTCTGCGATAGTGGAAGCTTCGGCCGTGGGGGCGTCGTCGGTGGCAGAGGACTTCTTGGCTTTCTTGGACTTTTTGTCCTTCTTGTCCTTCTTGCTCTTCTTGGAGGACTTCTCGGCCTCGGCAGGGGTTGCATCTTCAACGGTAGCAGGAGCTTCGGTCATGGAGGTGTCGTTGGTCGGCTCAGCTGCCTCAGCTCCCGTAGTAGCAACACCATCATCTTCCTCGATAGAGTCGGCCTTGCGCTTGCGGTCCTTCTTCTGCTTCTTCTCCTTCTTGGCCTTTTTCTCGGGCTTCGCAGCGCTCTCATCCGCGTCGCTCATGCGCCGCTTCTTGCTGCTCTTAGTGCTGGTGCTGGCGTCCATGGCGGCGGTGCTGGTCGTCGCGGGGTCTTCTTCGGGCTTGCGCTTCGTAGAAGGCATTGTTGCTTTTGTGTTTTATTTTGTGGAAAATAAAAAAGACAAGTGTTTTGGGCAATTTCTACTCGAAAGCAAGGACCGCAGAAAAAAGTTTACCTGGGGAAAACTCCAAAGGGGTGGGTAACAAGCTTCCGAATTTCATATGAAGGCCCAATTGCGAAGAGTTCGCGGACAGAAAATTTTAGTGGACCTCTGCGGCCGGTTGTGGTAGCCAGGTGGGGCCAAGGCTAATCGATACCGTAGCTGCTGTAAGTGCATTAGCGTCGCCGCTGGGGGCTCGCTTAGATGCATGTTGTATTTAGCGGGACTCCAGAGATTTCAAGTCCAAACTAATGACTGTTAATTCACCCTGTGAGTTGAAGCAACAATAGGTAGGTACTGAATGGTTTGTTCAGGTTTTTATAGAAACCAGTCTCACTATGAGACTAATTTATTGCCAAACAAAGGTAGTCTGTGAGTTAATTTTGGGCAGCTTCTATTAGGCTTCCATATCCATTTGGTTAACCCCTATTTCTCTATGAAAATAATGTATTTTGAGTGTTAAAAGATAGGGGATGGAGGATAGAGTCTTGATCATGCTTCAGACTCGGGAGATTTCCTCTTGGTATGTTGACAGATCAAACTAGGTAGGTACCTCACATCAGAGCAGTTTATCATCACCGTTGTTAAGTGAAGTCCCTAATATAAACATCGTTCTGCTTTTAATTGTATAATAGTAGAGAAGCCATATATTCTGCAAGTTGTATTGTAAACGTAGAATCTAAATTATAATCATACGGATTACTGTCAATTACACTTGTATTCCCTCGATTCATAGGTTCCCACGACCACAGCCATGTTACTTCAGAACCTTTCAAGAGAATGCCTCCACTCAGAAACTCAATGTGCTATTATAAATAAATATGTACCCTCGTTATCAATCTCAAGAGACTTTAGCAGGGCTGGAGTTGTTGTTTGATCAATATGCTTATACATAATAGAGCGGATGGGATCCTAAGCACTCGATATCCTGTAGCCATGCGCGAGAGTTTATTTTCTTAGAGAAGGATGAGACTTTCTTACAGTATCAACTGGAAAATGGTATCGAGACTTGGAAACCTCAGGTATTTATCACCATGTTTGGTCCGGCTAGTACCCACTTCCACTACTAGTCATAAGAATTAGTTTAGGGCAAGCAATCTTCAACAGCTACGCTGACTTTATGACAGGGTTCATGGCCTAATGGTAAGGCGTCAGATTTCGGTCCTTTCCGGTCCTCTGAAGATTGCAGGTTCGATCCCTGCTGAGCTCGAGATTTTATTTTTTTTAATCGAAAATATTTCGAATGCATTAATCATCATGTTAAATTTTCAACAAGTGGCATAAAGGTTTTCTTCTCTCAAAGGATATCTCTTCCCAAATAAGGATCTATAAAATTAGAGGCGAGGTCATCTAATTATGTGATATCAGTTTTGATGTTTTCTCACTACGTCTCAGAATGTAATCCGTGACATCCCTCTACTCAGAGAAACAGTGACAATGCAGTGTTAGTGTCACGATGCGAACATGGAAGCATGAGGAAGAGCTCTATTGGCACGAAGGGCGCTATCTGGTCCACCAGCCACGGGCAGGACATGGTCCATATACGCAAGCCTATTTTGCCCTGGACTCCTGGTGGCTTTTACCACTAGACTCCTAACATATAAACTTGGGTTAGCTCTAATGAATAAAGGGTGTAGATTAGATTTAGATGCAAGCTCCCGCTTGCCGCTCAAGCACCGCTAAGATCTTCTCCTTGAATATGGAATGAGTTTCGAACATGTTGTGATCCTGTAGCCAATTCACTTCTCCTGAATTTGGATCTCCATCTTGCGTCCACGTCTCGGCGAGTGTGTATCTAGACCGTGGATGGCAACGACACTACAGCTGTTAGATATCTCAAACATGGAAAAGGAACTGTATACTGACTCCAAATCTTTTTCATTCGATTCGATAATCTTATGGGGATCTGGATAGACTTGGTGCAGCCCTAATCTCCTTGGCTTCGGATTTCCAGACATGCTCTCTAACACACTTAAAAATCCCTTTCATAGACCGTTAAGGATTAGGTAGTACTATAGTCACCTCAGATCTTAGATTGAGAAAGCTTAAAATATCCTTCCAAGAACAAAAATAAATAAAAATCGAAGGTCTAGCATGAAAGGTGAGATATTATGATTGAATAAGAGGAGGGTGAATCGTTGCTTCTCTGATCATCCAGTCTGGAAAACACGTTCGCTTACCTACCTAGCTACCTACCTAGCTCGAGCTTATTGTTGCTCGCTACATGCTATATGTATGTTGGTTCAAATAACTTGGTCTGCCGTCATAACTAACGCTGGGCGAATACCGCAACTTTTCGCTCTTGCAAAGAATATTAATTATGAAATATTAACTAGAACGCATTGGTTGCTCACCTAAAGCAGTGACTGGTGCATAATGTATTGTAGACTCGCCATATCGTCGTCCGTCAAAAGCAAAATAGGAGAAGCGAAACACAATGATCAACTTGGTACAATGGCAACGAGAAACAAGAGCATTTAGATCGAAGGATGGCTGTGCCACTGGCTTAACCTTGGCTCGGGGGAGCTCAGGTTCATTAACAACAATTAGATTGAAAGTATGGTTGCTTGTAGTGAGAAACTGCCCACAATCAAATCAGCTGTATGAGTAGTAGTCAATGCCACATAAATTGAAAGACGCTGAATAAACACTTTGATACCTAAAGCATGATGCGAGAGCCCGGTGGTGCAGCGGTAGCACATTTCATCATTCGACACTCTAGATACCCCGTTGGGATGTCGAGGTTGGAAAGAGCATGGGTTCGAATCCCATCCGGGGCATGTATTTTTGCCTATAAATGATGCCTACATGGCATAGAGACAACCTACCTCAAAATCTCGAGATACTTGAAAATGCAGAGCTTCCTATTGGAAGTTCTAATGGTGGTTCGTCCCAGCAAGGCACCTGCATATGCACGCACTACTAACATGTGTGGGAAAGTACATTATTAACAATCAAGCCTTGGTTGGTGGGTTCGGTGAGAATGGTCCTGGGTCCCTTGCTTTGCCCAAATAAGATGGTTGTTGGTAGCACCAGGCAAGTCGGTGATCGTTTGTGGTGGCGTTAGGACGGCGGTAGCTATTATTAGATCACATCAAGTCTCTTTGTTATTACTCGTTATTCCTTTTCATCAATCTTTCACAATACCAATGTATCTTATCTTCTCTCGACATATTCATCGCCAAAATGGGACTATACAGCCAATTACCGGATGACATCCAGACTGTGGACATCATCATCGCAGGTGGTCAGTTTCATCGCCTTGTCCCCTCGCAAAAAGTATGCCCTATGTCATCCGATGAACTAATGCTATCGTCTGCTTTGTAGGGGGTACCGCCGGTTGCATCGTAGCTTCAAGGCTTGCCGAAGCCGATCCGAACCTTTCCATCTTGATCGTGGAAGCGGGACCCGACGGTGCCGGCAATCCTACGGTCGATTATCCTGCCTTCTTCTTTTCCAATCTCCTGCCGAGTGCAACAACTACTACATTCTATAAAAGCAACCCCTCGAAGAATCTCGGGGGCCGCGAGATCGTTGTTCCTGTCGGTACCGTCCTCGGTGGTGGCTCGTCCATCAACATGATGATGTACAGTCGCGCCCAGCGCGATGATTGGGATTCATGGAAAACGCCAGGCTGGACCACCGATGAAATGCTGCCATTTCTCAAGAAGGTATGATAAGTTTCACAGTCTCTCGTGTTGAGCTATGCATCTCAGAAAGATCTGGGTGATTTAAGACACCATGCGGCTGACTGGTCCTAGTCAGAGACGTATCATGGACCTGGCTTAATGGATCGACACGGTTGTGATGGCCCGGTTCACGTGTCCAGTGGCACGTTTACCGGAAAGAGATGCCAAGACGACTTCATTTCCGCCATGAAAAATGTCGGGTGGCCGGAGATAGAGGACCTTGGAAGCATGGATGCTTGCAACGGGGTTCAGCGTGCGGTCCGGTTCGTCTCTCCCGATGGCAAGCGCCAGGACACAGCTTCTAGGTACCTGAAACCCCGGCTCCAGGATGGCGCACACCCTAATCTCCATGTGCTTGTCGAATCCCAAGTCGTGCGCGTCCTGTTCCAAGGAAAGAAGGCCAGCGGTATAGTGTACCAGCCAAAGGCCGAAGGCGCTACTGAACGCACCGTGAATGCGAGCAAGATGGTCATCGTTTCGGCCGGCGCCTTTGGCACACCAGCTGTGCTGGAGAGATCTGGTGTCGGCAACCCCGAAATCCTTCGTCGTGCAGGTATCGCGGAGGTCGTCGCAGATGTTCCTGGTGTGGGTCGCGAGTACGATGATCACCATATGCTCTTGTATCCGTACAAGTCGAGCCTGAACCCCGATGAAACTATCGACGGAATTCTGACCGGCAATCTGAACCCTGCGGAGTTGATTCAGAACAACGACAAGATCTTGGGCTGGAACGCACAGGACGTAACCTGCAAGCTTCGTCCTACCGACAAAGACGTTGCGTCGCTGGGCCCCGTCTTCCAGGAAGTCTGGGACGAAGAATTCAAAGACAGCCCCAACAAGCCGCTGATGATGATGGCGTTGATCAGTTGGTAAGCTCGCCAGTGTCTATGAACCACTCTTATCGGAGCATCTAACTAACGGCTCACATTAGTTTCCCCGGCGAACCCATCGGAATCCCACCAGGACAGTACTTTGGCGTTTCGACCTTTACCACGTACCCGTTCTCGCGGGGCCACGTGCACATAACGGGCCCCGGGTTGACGGACCCGCTTGATTTCGAGACGGGCTTCTTCGCGGACGAGAAGGGCATCGATCTCAAGAAGCACCGCTGGGCGTACAAGAAGCAGCGAGAAGTCGCCCGGCGGATGTCCGTATACCGCGGCGAACTGCCCGCCGGCCATCCGCCTTTCCCCGCACACTCCAAAGCCGCATGTGTCGCGCCCGACGGCCCGCTTACAGACGTGCAGGACATCGAGTACTCGGCTGACGACGATGCCATCATCGATAAGTGGGCGCGCGACAACGTCAGCTCGCCTTGGCACTCTTTAGGCACGTGTAAGATGGCGACGCGCGATCAGAACGGCGTCGTAGACCAGTATCTAAGCGTCTACGGCGTCGAGGGATTGAAAATTGCCGATCTGAGCGTCGTGCCGAAGAACGTGGCTGCAAATACTAACAACACTGCCTTGGCTGTCGGCGAGAAAGCCGCTTCTATCTTGATCGAAGAGCTCGGCCTTGGTCGTAAGTAATCGAAAGTAATTGAGGAAAGGGTTATTTCAGAGAGCTCAGACCAGTCACAGCACTAGCCACAAGTGCTTTTTCCTAGGTAATATGTGGTCTGAAGTAAGTTAGAAAAATAGGTAGCACCTACACTCATGATTTCATAATTTTTTATCCTATAAAAAATCTAAATGCACTTAGAATTAGCACAAACGTTACTCGACCTCTTATGGAAGCCATGCAGATTCATCTGAACATGCGTGCTTATAAAATTATAAAGGAATATAAATGTTATTTTTTAGCTTATAATGTAAAACTTAACTTCGAACCAAAATCGAAAAAAAGTACTTGTAGCTGGTGTTAAATGTAGGTAGTCTGAGCTTCCTGAGATAACCTCATACTACATAGTGCGTATACCTTAGGTACCTACATATGTAACCTTCCTACCTGCAGCATTACGTTGCAAAAACTGAGTGCTATAGCCATACCTTGATATACCATTACTACTAAATTCCCCTCGCGTTTCCTGTTTCCCTTTTCGTCCTCCAACATCCAACTGCATTCTCGATACTCCTATCATAAAAAGTTAAAGGCGGACGGACATAGCACTCATACCAATGATCGCCATCACACAAGTCATTATAATACTCAACATATTCGACAACAGGCATATACATCCAGCCCACGTCCTCCTCGTGATCCGTAACGCCATCTTCCCAAAAACCTACGGGATAGTCTGATTCCTTCTCTTCCTCATTGAGGTCTGCCGTCATTTCTTCGTCGTCTCGAGAGAGCAGCGAAAATTCTTTGCGGACAAGCTTCACTACAGGCCCGTAGGCATATTGTCAAGCGACTCGAGGTATCTAGGTACCACGAGGCAGAAATTGTACCGTGCGCCGGCGAAGTAATCCCGACCGCGCTCCCAGCCGTACCTAGGTGGGGTTCCCATCTGCTATGTCCTCGGAGCTTTCTACGATTCCTCCACCAGTACCCGAAATAGGCTGCTCGGCTGCGTTGCGCTTCAACTCCTCGGTGGCCCACGTCCTGAACGCAACTCGAATCCCATCCGGTTTGAGACGATCATGCGTCGCTGGGTGATCCACGGCGACCAAATGACGGCGGACAAGAAGGTCGTCGCGACTTTGCAACTCTAGACGGCTTCTAATGCTTTCTCCGATGCTCTCCAGCATCCGGTTCCATACCGCGTCATTGCCGTGCGAAACGCGGTACACGGCAAAGCCCCAAGGTGCATCGGCTTGGGTGTCCTCTTCGGTCAGCGACTTGTCGATGCCGTGTAGGTCTCCAGGGAGCATGGCCTTTAAAAGTGCGATTGCGTCAGCCATGGCCGAAATAGAGCGAAATCTAGATGGGTGGCGGGGCCTGTAGCGACGGACAATTCTGCTACTCCCCGCTGCTTGTACGACGGTGCTTTCGCCCATCGAGCGATCGTCGTGGCGCTGTGCGTCTAGCGGCTATGACGGCACTCGCCCGGGAGGCCGTTTGCAGAGGGGACATTTGACATGCCATTCCATTCACAGTAATGACCTCGCGAGCGCAATGTCGAAACGGATTTCGAAGAGTAGCCGACGACATGAAGGAGGTTTGTAGGGATAAGGTAATAAGCGAGATGAATTCGAGTATCAGTTCGAGCGGAACGTGGGCTAGCGTCGGTGATGTCACCGTCGGGCAACCTGTAGCATGGAATGCGAGCTTTAATTTTGACAACTCGACGCACGTTATTCCAGAAAATGGCCACTCTGGAGGTTGAACGATCGTAAAATCGCAATTATAGAGACGCAAAACAAGAGTCGTCTCTGAGCCAGACACGGCGAAGACCAAGGTGTGTGTGCACACCAATTTTCTACAAATATCAGCAATGCAGGAGACAGATGAAGCGGTCGTTTATTGAATAGTATAGACAATAACCAGCGCCATAAACCCTAACTTGATATAAGACCATCATCGCCGCCTATTAACATTAATCCTCCTTCTGTACTAACAAATAGGTAATCCCTCCTTATAAAAACCCTAAAGAAATTCGATAATGACGATGCTCGCCTAGCTCTAGTAGCCGTTCATCCAGATGTCCAGCACAAGAACCGACAGCAGCCACAGCACGAGCCCGAAGAAGGAGGGCCGCGACCGCGCGGCGGCGGAGAGGGGCACGATCCACGGCCGGCTGGCCGACGTCGCAGTTGCAATCGCAGTCGCAGTCACTTCCGCGGCCGGACTACCGTCGGAGAACATGCTGGGCGCCGGCGCGAAGGTGACGGGAGAGTAAGAGACGGTGACGAAGTCCGTGACCGTCGTGGTGATGGTGGCCGTCTGTCCGAAGCCGGCGATGCTCTCTTGGCGTAGCTGCAGGCCGGGCACGTCGGCGACTTGGCGGCCGGCGAGGTAGTCCTTCTCGCGGGACCGCAGCAGCTCGTCGTTGACGGTGCTGGGTGGCACCATGTACACCTCGGCGCCGAGGTTCATGCACAGGGAGATGGAGTGGCTGAGGGCCGGGCCGTAGTTGCTGGAGTCGCACTGGGCGAAGAGACACTGGAAGAGGGACTATGTACGTGGCATAGTCAGCTTAAGTGGCTCCT